CAGGAGGGACTGGGGAACACCAATTTCAACACCAACCAACTTTTAATGAATAGACAAATGATTCTTGTAGTGCGGAATATTAGAGGTGCTAATAGTGATGACTTTAAAAGAAATTTTAGAGACTTAGTACTCATAATCCCTGCATGGTTGCTCTTCTGGAGACTAAAATGGCTGACCATACTATACTCTACGATGAGTTCCACTTCACTGATATGCTTGAGGTCCCAGCCATAGGTTTTGCTGGCGGGATCGATATTTTTTGGTTTAGAAATTTGGTTACTACCAATATTATTAGCAAGTCACGCCAAAAAATTCATACAACGCTACAGGTTTCTCCTAACCAACCTTCATGTCTTATTAGTATTATCTACTCTAGTAATTCACTCAATCTCCGTAATAACCTTTGAAATAATCTGTGCTCCATAGTGGACATTTACTATGGACCTTAGCTAGTGGGTGGGGATTTTAATGAAATTCTCTCATAAAATGAAAGTGGTAGATCCATTAACACTAACCGTTCCTCATGTTTTTGGTCTTGTGTGAATTATTGCAACTTAATTGACCTAGGTTTTAAAGGAGCAAAATATTCCTCATATTTTTGGTCTTGTGTGAATTATTGCAACTTAATTGACCTAGGCTTTAAAAGAGCAAAATATACTTGGACCAATCGTAGAGTTAATTCCAATGGTCTTATTCTAGAAAGACTAGATAGACATCGTGCTAATTCTCTTTGGCTAGACCAATATCCTGATGTCTCTATTATTCACATACCTAGAATACACTCAGACCATACTCCTCTACTACTGAACTTTACCAAACCTAGCCCTCTCCCTAATAAGAAACTTTTTAGACTTGAAACTTTTTGATGTTATCACCATGAATTTGATAATATTGTTAAGGATTCTTGGCATGGGAAGCAACTGCTCGAAGCCACTAGCTGTTTCCAACATACGGCTTTGGATTAGGTCAAATCTATCTTTGGTAACACTAATAGGAAAAAAAAAAATAGAATTCTTAATAGGCTCAATGTAATTCAATTTTACCATGTTATCCTACTGGCCACTTTCTACACTTACTGGAAAATGACCTTATAAATGACTATAATAACCTCTTGAAAATTGAGGAAGACTATTGAAAAATTTGGTCTCGCATAAATTTACTTAATGACGGCGATGCAAATATAAAATTACCTAAGTGTAGTGAATTGTATGAGAAAAACAAATAGTGTATCCTTCTTCAAAGATAGTGATGGTAGCTGGATCAATGACCCAGGGCAAATCCTAGATTATACGTCGGAATTTTTCCAAAAGGCTTTCCAAACTGACCATATAGATACACCATGGAAAAATATTCTTAATTCACAAACTTATTTTGACAACATAGACCTCTCAGATCTAGACTATCCATTGAAAGATTTTGGGGTTGTCCGTGCAATTTTTTCCTTTAAGCCTTTTAAAGCACCAGGCCCTGACGGAATTCCCCCATTCTTTTATCAAAAATATTGGCATGTGATCAGGAATTCCGTTTTAACATTTTGCCACAACATCTTTAAAAATCTTTCAGTTCCAAAAACTCTCAACTCTACCTATATCTGTCTCATTCCTAAATTCCATAATGCAAACAATCTCAACAATTTTTGCCCAGCGGGTCTTTGCAACACTATCTATAAGGTTATTACTAAGATTATCTTTAACAAGATTAAGCCTACCTTGATAGGCTGATTCACCCCTATCAATCTAGTTTTCTCAAAGACAAACAGACTAGTGATAATGCCATAATAATTCAAGAGATTATTAACCATTTCCAAAAAATTAAGGGTCGCCGGGGCAAAGTCCTCTTAAAAATCGATCTTGAAAAGGCCTTCGACAGACTTGAATGGTCCTTTATATACTGAGCCCTCCTTTTCTTTAAATTCCCTTCGTGAATCACTAAGCTTATCATGAGTTGCATCGACACCTCTAGAATTGCTATTTTAGTTTAATGGGTCCAAAACAAGTTCTTTTTATCCATTTAGGGATATTCGGCAAGGTGACCCAATGTAACCATATCTATTTATACTATGTATGGAACTACTCCAAATATATAAGTCACCAAGATAATATTGGTTTTGGGATCCAATCAAGCTTAATCCCACCGGTCCATTATTCTCTCATTTATTCTATGTGGATGATTTAACTCTTTCAGCTTATTCCAATTTAAAATCAATCCATACCATAAAATGAAGCCTTCAATTCTTCTCCTTAATTTCTGTGCAAAAAATCAATACCACCAAACCCAATGTTATCTTTTCCAAGAACTGTGACCCACAAACCAAAAGTCACCTCGCAAATATTCTCAATATTAAAATTAGTGAGAACTTTTGAAAATACTTGGGATTTCCTATCTCATGCGCAAACCTAAGGCTTCTGACTTGCGCTTCATCATTGACAACATGAATTTAAACTAACTAGTTGGAAAATAATTTTTTTTTCTATTGCAGGAAGAACAATATTAGCTAGATCAACTCTTAACTCTATCCTCAATTACTCAATGCAATACATCCTACTTTCCTCCTTTATACTTAAACAAATCGAGAAAATCCAAAGAGACTTCACTTGGGGCACTACCACTTTGAAAAAGAAAATCCACTACATCAAATGGGCCTCAGTTACCCAACCCAAACAAGCTGAGGGCCCAGGTCTCAGGAACGCAACAGACAAAAACATGGCCTCACTTGCCAGCCTCTCTTGGTGGCTCTTCACCAACCCAGGCTCCATTTGGGTCATAACACTTATTAGCCAATACAACCATAAGAGAAATCCCACCTCTCACTCCTTCATTTGGAACAACATACTGACAAGTTGGAAAATCTATATTAAAGGTCTTGAATGGATAATTGGTCCAGGAAACATTAGTTGTTCGCTTTCCCATTAAATACTTTAATCCAAGGGTTGTTGAAACAGTCAGACCTATTTCTCAAAGTCAGGGACCTTTGGACAAATAACCAATGTGATCTTTCTAAGTTATCCTTTGAACTCCCTTCAAGATCAGAATTCTCTCCATAAACCGCACTAGCATCAATAATACTAGGGATATCCCAATCTGGGTGCTTATTCCAAATGGTATTTTCTTTGCCAACTCTGCCTACAAGATAATCTCCCATCCACCATCCACCAACTATAATTTCTATTGGATTTGGAAACTAAATACACTACATAAAATCAAATTCCTTCTCTGGCAATGCTCCCATAATCGACTTCCCACTAAGCACTACCTCCATCACATTGGCATCGACATAGACACTACTTGTTCAATTTGTAAAGGTGCTGAGGAGACCAGTACTCACATTTTCTTTGACTTCCTAATAGCAATGAACTTTTGGAATGATGCACATCCAAACTTTCTACTATTAAGTCCTTACTCTGAACACTAGCTCACTTTACAACTTAGCTTATGCCTACACTCCTACTTACATGGAATTGCTGGCCCTTAGAACTGGACTACAATTAGCTTATGAGAAGAATTTTCTTTTCATAGTTTGGAGATTGAAATTGATGCTACGGATGTCATCCACCTACTTGGACTTTACGGTTGTTCACTTTATACTAATTTGATTACTGGTGCAGGTCACTGCTGAAGAAACTGGCCCACCGATCTGGCATAACTTTACGGAAGGAAACAAAGTTGCTCACTTTTTGGCTACTAAAGGATCCAAGCAGGAAAGCAACAGCCCACTATCACTTTGGATATACCCTCCTGCTGCATTTTTGAAGCTTCTCCATGAAGACAAAATCGGCTCAACTAGTTCTATGCTCGTGTCTACAAATGTTCTTAATAGTTTGGTTGAAGTTGGAAATCCTTTTGCTAATTGTAGTCCTAATATCAACAACCCTATGACTGTAACTGCCCGTGATACCAATGGGACCTCAGCTTTACCTAATCGTACTATCTAATGAATGAAATTTTTGTATTTCTACCCACAAAAAATGGGAGTCAAAGAAATCTCTTTACCACAACGCGTTATTCTAAATATCCCTCCAATACTCTTTTAAGAATAAAAGACGTAAGTTATGGTGATCCTATGTGATTCAATTTTTTAATTATATAAGTAAAAATATTTAAAAATTAATTTTCACATTTACACCGAAAAGATATATCGACTTTTGCGTTCTAGAAATTGTCATTTTCCTTAAGTCGGAACTGTACTATTTACTTTCAATGTTGTCTCTTATGCCGTGATATTTCTTGAAGAAAAACTATAGAATAAATGTTCAACGTAATAAGTAGGAACCTTTTTTTGACAAATTGAAAAAATCATTGGAGATGGCAAAACGAATATTACATTACTCATAGGGTTTGAACCACCAACCTCAATTGTGGAAGGATACGTCTCATTACTCGTGAGTTTGATTTTTTTCATGAGCCAAGCACATCAAAGGTTTTTTTTTTTTTTTTTTTTAATGGTGAAACTCGACTCCAAAATCTCCTCTTGGTCGGATACCACATTGATCTCTGCGATCACTTGATCTAAAAATATAATCTTTTATGTGAGACTATCACGCTTCAATATTGACAAGTCCAAGATAATCTTACACACACACAAAAAGAGAGAGAGAGAGAGAAAAGAAGAAAGAATTCCAATGCAAAGGATGTTGCGGAGTTTACATTATGTCTTCTAGTGGTTGCTATCATATGTGGCAAGTCTATCAGCAACTTTATTTAAAGAACCAAATTACAATTTCTGCTATAAAGATAATTATGCCGCCACTTCTAACAACTAGCATTCATCAGACAACTTTTAAATGTTAAGCATACACAGTGTGAAGCCTATTCAAGAGGTGTCGGTAAATACTTGCCTTCATCTACGTTTACACCAAATCAAACAATTTAACTGCCGTAGTTATAAATTGAAGAGATACACGTCTTGCATTCATTGTTTTATATAAACACAAAGTGCATGTAAGTTTTTACCATTATTTGTCCTCCTACTAGAGATAATTGATATACTATATTGCGTAGACTGTTCATAATATGCATGTCATTATTATGTCCCAAGAAATGAAGAATAGATAATGAAATTGTAGTTACACAGAAAAGCATCATCTGCTATTCTGACTAATTTGGTTAGTCCACTACCAGATGTAGTTAGCAAGAAAATGATGAAGATGGGAATAATTTTCTTGTTTCTTTTCTTTCTGGTTCTCCATCAGTTTTCTGGGAAAGCAATGAATCAGTTAAAAATCATCAAAACATGGCTCAATATCTAAAAGAACATTACTTCAAATTGGTTTCTACCCCTTAAAGTTCTAAAAACCTTCAACGTTGGTCAGGGAGGAGTAAAGAGAAAAACTAGTCCTCGTCGTTGTTAATTGTGCTTACCATACCACCCTCATGCCACTTCAGAAATCCTTCCTCAAGGGCCTCTCTCATCCATTGGTGCCGGCAACATTCAACTGCCTCAGGAATTGTCAGCCAACTTCTTTTCCGGCGGTTCTGTTCTGGCCAACAGTCAAGCTCTTCCTTCACAAACAAAGCAAACATGGCAGCTCTACACAAACCTTCTGGACTGTACTCGTCTTGAAGTGTTTTGCTTTTAAAGAGGTAGTATCCCAAAAAATGCTGAAAAAGAAGAGGTATAAATCCCACAGATTCATGGAAAACAAAATACAAGGGAATCACGTAACGTCTACATACGCTCCAACCTACAAGTTTATTTATATAAGTTACTTATTTAAAAACAAAAAGTTTACTGAAGACAGTCTAAACTGCGACAAGCACATTTCGTTAGTAAGTCACTATGATAAATTTAAGATTACTGTGATCAGTTAATGAACTTTAGCTTCGACTCTTTAAAATAATCCAAAACAAGTTCACCCTTCGTTGAATGTTATTACTGCATCACATTGATACCCCTCTTGTAGTTCTATTATTTTTATTACAGATGACAGTAACTTTCTTTGGAAGAGAGAAATATATTGAAGTTTTATCACATCATCATGCTCAAAAGGAGTGCGACAGAAAGTATCATATTGTAAGAAATTCACTCCATTAACAATAAAATAACATTCTGAGCAGAGAGAACTAAAGATGATTAAGCAACAAAAAGACACGACCACATGCAAAGCTCAAAGGCAGTGGAAATGTCGCTTTTGCCAATGTGGTCTATTTTAACATGCAAATACATCTGGGAAAAACCCACTAAAGCGTGATGAACCTCCATGTGGCAGGAATAACTTATTTGTGTATCCAAATGCTACAGAATAAATGAAGATAGGATACAACAATCTCACCACTAAATCCCCACGAACTCCAGCCTCCTCTATGGCTTCACGAACAGCTGCCTCTTTAACTGTTTCATCATTTTCCCACCCTCCCTATATATACAAAGACAGAGATGTCAATTAACAGCACTCATAGGCATCTTGTCAGCTCTAAGGCAAATTAAAACATGAACATAAAGAACTTATTCCCCAACATGGCGGTGCTGCTAACCACAAAAAAAACAGAGGCCAGAACAAAAGAAAAAGAACAATTAAAGAATAGAACAAGAAGTCTATCAAGTCAAGTGTAAATGTGTAATGGCCGGAAAAGAAAAAAAGGAGAACCAACTGTAAATGCCAATTCACTGGTTCAAGTATGCGCACACGCTTGTATACCTTTGATTGAATAACCTGCTAGTAGTGCTACCAGGTTCAATGCAGCAACATCTAACTAGCATAAGTAGTCATGAAGAGAATGAAGCATGTAAACATCGCAATGCAGCAACATCTAGCTAGCATAAGTAGTCATCAAGAGAATGGAGCATGTTAAATATGGTTGCTGTATTTTAACAAGAACATTAAACAGTGAAACTTGTCAATCGTCAATGTAAAACTTGGCAAACTTGAACGTGTATTTGGTATGACGGAAATGTTTTCTTGGAATATAAATGGTTTTCTTGTTTATTTTCTAGTATTTGGTTAGTTAGCAAAAGTATTTTATTGGAAAATATTTAATTTAGGCAAACACTATGGGAAACGAAATGGGTGAGGCCGGGGAGGAGCAGGGCGGTGGGGGTCCGGGATCGAGGTTGGGGGCCGAGGTGGATTTGATGCTTAATAATCTTCAGAACAACAACAGATTTAATGGTTTTNAGGGAATGTTGAAAGAGTGTTTTGGAAAATATTTTCCCTCCTCTTGATTGGGAAGTCATTTTTCTTCAACCGGAGGAAAATGAGTTCACAGGGAAAATATTTTCCAAAATATTTAAGCCAACCAAACATAGGAAAATTGGAAAACATTTTCTAGAACATGTTTTCCTTCATGCCAAACACACCCGATATCTTTTTAGTTGTTAAACTTGGTAAGGTTCAGTTTCGCAGTGGAGGAAGAAAGTTAGCAAATCTCTTAATTATGAGGTAGAAATACAAAGTGCTAAAAAAGACCTTACTATCAGATCCATCAGAAGATAAAGTCACATAAGGTAACTTAATGCTAGCCCAAGAAAACACTTTAATCATAAGAACTAACATAGCATATTGCTTGAAATCCAATAGAACAATTCTCACCTTCGGAAACAGAAGACCGGGCCCACTTGTTGAGTTTATCATCAGTACTTCAACTATCTTTTTGGATGCGTCACCACCATTTTGTTCCATATCCCTGAACTTAAACGGAATACACCTGCGGCAACTTGGTAAGAATTCAGAATAGACAGGTTTCGAGAAAATATTATTCTGACTTCAAATGCAAACCCAGGAAGTTAAAAAGAGATGTTGTTCCCTGTTTTCAAATCCTTTAAGAAGCAGAAAAAATGACAGACAAAAGATATCAAACGACATACCAACTACCAGGAGACTGAAACCCATTTAAAGATGCTGCGTGAAAAAGAGACCCCAAAAACAAAAGCCAGAAAATGTACCAACTGAACTTGTCGTGAAAAGGGAAACCACAACAAGAACTCAAATGACAACTTCAAGAGACATGCTTGGTATTTAATTTGAAGAGCTAAAATTTCAGATTTGAGCTTACTGCAATTTTTAGGAGCTAAAAGATTAAGAAACTTTTGCTCCATAAAATCAATACACTTCTATTCTAAGAGGATATTTTAACGAGAATCACATTCTATACTTTCTAGCCACGGAAGGATTTCTCTTGTGTTCCTGAACTTCTCTACCTTATGCTGTTGCTTCTCTATATCCTTTCTAAGAACACATCAAGTATTCAATTGCATAACATACCCTTAGAAGAGTCCGAACAGCAAAATACTCGAAAACCAACTATCCTTAACAATATAGAACATGGAAGACCCCGTTACTGCAAATGCTCGGTGCTTTTCCTTCTCACACTTTTGAGCTGAGAATAATCTCATCGCATGACTGTCTCAGTGGAGCCATGTTACCACTTACCAGTTTGATTGCGATAGGGTCAGTTGGATTCTTTGATCACTGCTGTCAAATAACTCTGCACTCGTGATGATGAAGATAACGAGAGATTCACTACATGCTTTTTGTGCTTTATTTATGTTATATGTCATGGCTTCTGAGTTATGACTCCATTGTCAAGGAGATGTTAAGCAGAATAAGAACCAAAACTAGATTTAGAGCAAGTGTAATGAGAAGGAAAAGGATAGCTTCCTTCTGATTGGATCAGCAAAAGAACTTAATATAAGAAGAAACAGCGGGAAACAAAAATTATTTCACCCCTATAAGTCTATAACCCCAATTCTGATTTATCTTAAGCTTATCCAATCACAGGTCGCCTCCAAAAGAAATTATAAATAATGTTGAATTGGAAAACCAAAAACATAAAATTAACTCAGACCAGATAGGGCCACCCAATTCCTACATTCCAGATTTACAAGATTCATTGTTCTTCTTTTACCGCCTCAAATTTTACTTCTTTTTTTAATAAGCACTTAAAGAGAACAATGGCAGCCTATTCCAACATGTCTTAACAGTTCTTGAATGCTGCTCTTTAGAAAAGACTTCAAATTCTTTTTTTTTTTCAATGACGGCAGTATACGGGCCCGTACACTACCGTACAACAACAATAACAACAACAACAAACCTAGTATAATACCACAAGTGGGGTCAGGGGAGGGTAGACCTTCATTTTTTCTCGCGCCAAGATCGTGCAGAGGGTCTAGTGGAAACAACCTGGGTCTAGTGGAAACAACCTCTCTACATTCACTGTAGGGGTAAGGTCTGCGTACTATCACCCTCCCCAGACACCACTAGTGCGACAATTTGCGGCATGACTATTCAACCGGGTATCTGCTACCTCCACGAGCACACGTATCGGGTCTTGGGCAAAGTCACCTAGTATTTTCTTTTTGCCCTGCTAGATTCGAACCTGAGACCTCATGGTTCTCCATCAACTTCATTGACCACAAACTTTTTGAAGATACTAACTTTATTAGTCTACAGAAAGCTAAAAGATTTACTTTTTCTTCAAATCGAATTGCACAAACCCAATACCTCAAGCAAATTTCACAAAAGAAAAACTAAGATAAAGAACTACAAATGCCCCGCTAGATTCGAACCAAAAATATCCACATTCAATAAAAAGATTTACCAAAACTAAGAAGAACCAAATGAGCAAAAACTAAAATAAATCCAAACAAAATAGAGAATAATTAAATAAAGAAAAGGAAAAAGAAAGATACCCAGCAATGAGTCGATAACCTTCTTCATATCGCTGTTGATGCCGACCCGTTCGAGCTACCAATTCAGACATTTATATTCAAATATCTATTAATATATACAAAAAATTTGCTAAAGCTGGTAAATCCAATAATAGATAAAGCCCTTAACCATATTTATCCTTTCTGCATTATAAAAATTCAACCTTTTTTCTCTTCATAAACAGCAAAAAAGGTTGTTCCCATTTTCTTGGTTTTGTCAAAAAAAATTGAGAAACAATAGTGAAAAGAGGAAGTAAAAGGGAAAAGGGTGTTAAAAGCAGCGCATGAATCGGAGCAACATGGGGTCTGACGTGGTCAGTCAGTCAATTTTTTAAATTTTAATTTATTATTATTACTGTATTCATTTTTTTTTTTTTGTTTCAGTTCGCTTATGAACTTTTTGTGGATACTTGAAAAAGATTATCCTTGTAAAAAAACAAGAAAAAAAGAAAAAGAAAAAGAAAAAGAATATCTTAAGGAAAAATCTCAAATAAGTCCTACTTACCGATTATAGCCATTAATAATAAACTTACCAAAATTAGCCAAACACATACAAAAATTAAAAATTTAAATAAATAAAGATTTTTTCTGTCCAAGAGATCTCCTTTTATATTTTTAAGCGTGATCAGCAATATTAGATACAAGATGAAAGAGAATTTTATGGATAAGGTAGCAAACAAGATGATTATATAGAGAGAGAGACACACAAAAAAAAATTATGTTGTTAAATATATGTAAATTATAAATAACAATTTATAAGCGGTTGGCCATTTTGGCCACTGATACGGACCAAAATTGGTCGGTAACTTCATAATAATTTTAAAAAATTATTTTTTTTTTATGAAAAAAAAATTGACCCTAGGCGGGAAAAAAGAAATTAAAATTTTCAACTGATTTCAGTCGGTATACTTGACATTTTTTTAATTAAACTTTTTTTGGTAAATAATATGCAAGTCTGACTAGATTTTGGTCAAAGATTGACCATTTTCCGGGCTGACATTGATCGAAATTTTTTTTATGTGTCAAACATAGCAGTATTTCTTTATTGTGGGACCATTTTTTTCAACTGATGGTGGTCGGTATCTTTGTGTAAAAAATTTTATTTGGCTTTTGTGATCAATTTACATATTTTCCCATCGATATCGGTCGGTTTTCTCTTCCGACCGATTTCGATCAATATAATGTGGACGGTTTTTGGCATTTTTCTAGTAGTGGGTGTTGTTCCAATCAATTGGAAACATCAAGAGTAGTTCAAATCTTAAATTTGAAGTGATTTGGAGTACATTTGAGTTAAATTTTAGAAGAGGCTCAAGGAAGAAGACGAAGTTAGTTTAGTATAATAGTGTATAATATTATATATTGGTATGTAAACATCTCTTATACACTTCTATACACCTATATAAATAGTGTACATGTCTCGTATAAAAGCATATAACTTTTAGTTGCAATTTTTGTTTATAAGTCCAAATCTCCATTAAACGACTTTAAATTTTGTAAACAATCTCCTTAGACTATTTCTAACAAATCTAAACAACACCCGCTCCAAATGGTGAATTACCTTAAAATTCTAATTTTCATCGTCAAATGAATTTGTTGTTGAACTAATGTTTGACTCGCTGATACTTATTCAGAAATTGGGTTAAAAATTTGAGGTTTTTTTAGCGATTTCGAAAACATATTTGGAGTTGGATTTTGAATCTTAGCCTATCTTTTTTGGGCTACGACTTTGCGAAGTTATATATACCACCTGGTATGTATGTGTGTGAATTGCATACCAAGACAAATTTTTTATTGGATTACATTACTTTAATTATACAATTATAAGTCTAGTTTAAATTATGTTGCATGTAATTTCTCATGTTTGGTAATAAAAGTGTTTATTTACCACAAAAAAGAAGTAAGTAGCATTCCCTGCATTAGTGAATCTTAAGTTCCTCCCCCGCATGCCCCGGCGGGAACAATTTTATTAACGACAAAGGGCCAAATATATCTTTGTACTATGAAAAAAGGTTTAAATATAACCATCGTTATACTTTCAATCTAAATATACCAATGTCGTAATATTATTGGTTCAAATATATCCCTATTTCATTAAGTTTGCCCAATGTGAACATCTCATCCTACGTGATACTGACATTTGATAAGGTGGATGTCATATAGCATGCCACCTCAACGCTCCTAACCCATTTTACCCATCCCTTCTATTTAACGGAATAGGGACGCTGATGTGGCATGTCATGTGGCATCCACCTCATCAAATGTCAGTAACCTTGGACAAACTTAACAGAAAAGGGGTATATTTGAATCAATAATATATGATATGACATAAATATATTTGGACCGAAAATATAACGAAACGTATATTTAAATCTTTTTTCATAGCACATGAATATATTTGGCCTTTTGCCATTTTATTAATCTTTAATAGAGGAAGGTGTGAATACTTAAGATACCATTAGGTTGTTCCAAGTAACTTGATCTCTGAAATGGGAAATAATATACTTCCTCACCCCGCTATTTCCCTTTGAACTTGTAGAAATAATGAACAATAAAGAATCCTTTCACTGGAATATGATAGGTTGCTTGGCGTTACATGTTATTTCCTGGCCACCATATAATATAAATTAGTGAAATTTTCCGCGCTTCGCGTGGTTGCAAAATTATCATTGAATTTAAATGATTTTAACTAAATTTAGAATAGTAAGAGATAAAATATTTTATTAGCCGATTTTTTCATTAGATAGCTAGTAAGACTTGTTTTTCTCTAAAATTTCTTCAATTCAACTAAAAGAACTACGAAATAAAAAAATTTAAAAATAACAAAAAGAAAACAATATATAATAACTAAGTGGCAATTGTGGTGTACATTCATTGAATCCATTTTCATTATGTACTTAATTTTTCCTATTCTTTCTTGTTTTTTTTCATTGCTTCTTCATCTTTTATTTTCTATCCATTCCCTCTATTATATTTTTAGGCCCTTGTTCTCCCTTTTCATACGATTACACTTTTAATTTATCGCATTCATTATGATGTAAACACGATAAATATAGAAAGAGAGAAAACTCAATTGTAACTTTCGACTAAAATGAGAGGAAAATTTGCAAAAATAGTTAAACATATCAAAAAGACAAATCGCCATTCCTCCCCATTTTTCTGTATTTTTTTCTTCTATCCTTTTTCTCTCTCTTTTCCGCCTTACTTTTCGTAAACTTATTTCTTTTTCGTCTTTCTCGATTTTTTTCCTTTTCCTACTCATGAAATTGAAACGGGAAAAAAAATCCTAAGCAATCTAGTCTCTAAAAACGTGGAAAAGGAAAAAAAATCATCTCACAAATTTAGAGTCATAAAACATACATCGACAATATTTGATATTAAATGCCCAATACAATAAAAAAAATTAAAAAAAAAAGACATCACAAAGCATATTTTCTATTTAACTTCCACTAAATCTAACATACATCAAAATTTTTGAAAAAGACGGTCTTCTATAGTTTATCAATTAATCCAGTCACAAGATTCTTATGTGTCATCCTTCTCTTGCAATAACTTTAGGTTTCTTTTTCAATGAAATATAATATATTATTAAAATAAATAAACAATGTACAAGTTATAGACATATATAAATAAAGGAGACTATAATCTAATGCTAATAAATATACATGAACAATCATATGGACTTGGGGATAGCAAATGTCTCTACTAATGTTACGCACATTTCAAGTATTTTGATATTTACCAAGTATTTGAATTAAAATTGTGTCATGACAAACAAAGGTAGCATATGCCATTTATCCAGAACTATCTTTGTAATTTGATGAACATGCAATGGGTGAATTTTCAACATGAACTGGAAAAGTATGTGCATAGAAGCAATAAAACAAAGGTATTCATTGTCATAACACCTTTTCATAAAATTTAACACCATAGATTATATATGTCATATAAGCTAAAGATAGTTTTTCTTGTTCTACAAATAATAACTATCCAATCCCAAGAAGAAAATAAAATACAAATTCATAAAAAAGAAACAAACATGTAAGTGGCTCAACAAAACATAATATATGTCTGCTTCATGACTTTTTATACTACTATATGCATCGCATGGAACTCATATCGAGTTCTTATATTAAAATATGCAGCACTTGTAACCATAAACCAACTAATAATGTCAAAAAGTCACATAGCAGAGCTAGAAAATGAGTTTATTTTTATTTTTATTTTTAACATAGCACATTAATGGAGAAAAATTATGTCTCTTGCCAAATCAATAGGTACTTCACTTATAAAATGTATTTGTATATAGTTATTTCTTTTTTGTAAATTTTGTAATATTTTTTAAAAAACAAAATAAAGAAAGAAGTAGTAAAAGGTAAAAGGATAAATAAAGTAGCTGAAAACTCCCATTTAGGCCGACTCTATGTATGGAACAAACTAAATGAATCCGTTTCAAATTAAACCCCAATTTTTGACAGATTCTAGATATAGAATCTTTGATTTCCTTTTTTCTTCTAGTTATTTTTCTTTATTTCTTTTCCTTTTCCTCCTGTTACTCCATATATGGATTACTCCCCTCTTTTTGTCTATATTTTCTTATTTTATCTCTTCCTAATTTTATGCAAAATCCTTAAAAGTAAGATTTTCTTTAAACGATTCTCATCATTTTCTCCTATAAAAGTGCTCTTTTTGGCAGTGAATAAATTCAAAGTGATCCAATTAAAAGAAAAACGAATAGGACACATATTAGAAAACTACATTCAGCAAAAATGTTGTAGTTTCAGACCTAAACTTTTACAAAGATTCTGACCCCTGCTTCCTTTCTTCTTCTTATTTCACCCCAAGATATCCATGAAAACTTAAATCCCGCCCAGTGGAAGTCCATCTCCTTTTGTTGTGTCCATGTGACCGGTATTGGAATACTTGAAGAGTGAAGGAAAAGATGAAGTTACTTATATAATAAGGTATGGTGTTGATCATACAGGAGCATAAGATAGTAACAGTGTCTGATACCTTTAAAATACATAATGGCTTTGGATTCTTAATATCGTAGTCCTCTGCTCTCATTCATTTGTGCATCTGACCTATGCATGCTAATTCACGTTGCACAAGATTTGGATTTGGATTGTGAAAAAGTGAGATTGTGAGTTCATATGGTCTATCTGTTTATATACTTGTGTCACAATTTAAGGTGGAAGTGTCCTTTCAAATTCTGTAACGAAGTGGCGCCTGAAATTGTAACTGAATTTT